AGGTCAGGGCTCTTAGCCCCGTGACTACTTTTTGTGTGTGTGTGGTTAAACTGGTTTATCGTCTCCCAAAAGATTTTCTTAGCAGTTTTAAATTAAAAAATTGCTCCTAACACATCAGGTTTTAACCCCTCTGCTAAGCAAACCTGAAATAAGACCCTATTTATAAACATTTTTTTTTTAAAGACCTTGCATCGGGGAACCTGAAATTTCACAATCATTTACACGGTATATTTGTTTATTTATTGTAGAACTCGCGAGAACCCGGCATGCGTTTCAATGGCACTCTTAGAAAGAAAGTGTTTGTATGTTAATAATGTTTTTGGAAGTAATTTTATATGTACAATATTTAAAAAAATTTTTGCTTCTCTGTATGGTGCGTACACTAATAAATTAGAAAGTTTTTCGATCGGTGAGCAGGCCACACACAGCTGTCCATGTGAGAAGCAAGGATTTTCCAAAAGCTAGTCTACACACTTGTAGCAATTGATCCACCCATGCAATAGCTATGTTTGAAAAGTATACTTACATAACTCATTTAATTTAAATAAAAACAAATTTAGGGCCCCGGCCCAAAATGGAATATTTTAGATTGGTTGTACTAAATTCAGAAACATTTGGGGACGTGCGCACAACACTCATCAAAGTTTTATTGCAATCGGATGAATGGGATCGGGACGCATACGAAAATTATATTTATATAGCTAAAAATGAATTTGGGGCCCGCGGACAAAAACAGAAAATTGTAAAATGATTGTACTAACTTAGAAATATTTGCGGGCGTGCGGACAACAACTCATTAAAGTTTTATCGCAATTGGATAAATGGTGTATGAACGCATTCGGAAATTATATTTGTGTAGCTGATATAAGATAAAAATGGATTTAGTGCCTCGGGCTCCAAACGTAATCTTTTTAAATGGTTTCACTAATTCAGAAACCAATTTATTATGTACCACACACACTTAAATATCAGTATTTTTATTTCATTAAAACTCCATCCACTCATGCATTAGCTCTGTTTGAACTTATAGCTCATATTATAAAACAAGAATTTAGAGCCCCTGGCTCCCAAAGGAATTTTTAAAAATGGTTGTAAGGATTCAGAAACATTTGCGGGCGTGTGCACAATAACTGACCAAAGTTCTATCGCAGTAGGATGAATGGTATAGGAGCGCATATGGAAATTATATTTACATAGCTCGTATAAAGAAAAAAACAACAATTTAGGGCCAACGGCCAAAAACGAAATATTTAAAAACGATGTTAATGACTCAGAAAAATGCACAGGCTTGTGTACAAAAACTCACCATAGTTTTATAGCAATCGCCTGAATAGTATATGAGCGCATACGGTACATACACATAAACAGACATTCATTTTGATATTTTAGATTTAAAAGCAATCATTATATTTATTAATTTAACTTTTAAGAAGTGAAAATAAATTATCGGTTTTGTCACCCGCGGTTATTATATCAAATGATTCGCGCTATGAAGTCATTTTCTTGATTATTTAGAAAAAAAAATGCTTCAATTTTATTTCGTAATATTTAAAAACGCACCAAAAAATGCACTAAAAAAAACCCAGATGTTTTGGTTTTCCCAAAACGTGTGATTACGATATAATTCTTTGATCATAATTTTTTTGAATAAACTTTTTCCCATAAATTTCAAACTTGGATAAAATACTTAAAATATTTCTTTTACTAAAATAAAAGCGGATATTTAATATTTTTTGCGCTTTTAAATTTATTCGATTTCCGTAAAAGAATGGAAAATAACTATGAAAGTTTTTATGAATACGAACGTAGTGAAGTCTTTTCACTTCTTTGGCGTTATGGTCAGCATACCCCGTTCTTATATATATAATTATAAATTAACACACTCAATCAAAGACGCACACACGCATACACAAATAAATATGTTAACATGTTAACACCTTGAATTTGATTGTTACAAATGGCGTCTCAGTTCCCAGACCAGACAGATTCAAAGGTGTAAAGAATGGGGAGTTGAATTACAAGCGTGGCGTCGTTCTCGGAGGTTCCAGCAGCATCAACCACATGGCCTACTTCAGGGGAGACAAGAGTGACTTCAACAGATGGGCCAACTACACGGGAGACAACTCTTGGGATTATCCTCACGTCCTGGCCTACTTTAAAAAGCTGGAGCGAGTGACCAGCCCCGAGCTGAGATCCTCGTATCGTGGCTCAGATGGCCCGGTCGGAGTGACCTTGACCTATCCACTTTATAAGGTGACAGATAAAATCATTGACGCCTTCAGAGAGCTGGGGTATAAATACAACGAAGATCCAAACAGCGAGAGCTTAGAGGGCGTGTCACGTTGCCAGGAGAACACGGACAACGGCCAAAGGTCCAGTGCATCTAGTGCCTACATCCATCCGATTTCAGAGCGTCCTAATCTCGATGTCGTCATCAATGCTAAAGTTTTTAAGATTGACATACAATCCAGAAAGGCCAAAGGAATATTCGTTGTGAGACAAGAGACAACCTTCTACGTTGAAGCCAGGAAAGAGGTTATCCTATCTGCTGGAGCCATCGAGTCCCCGAAACTGCTGATGTTATCGGGGATTGGTCCAAAGAAGCATCTAGAAGATCTCAACATATCCGTCGTGGCCGACCTTCCAGTGGGGGATAATCTTCAGGACCACGTCATGTTCGATATGGTCGCCTCCATTGAGAAACCTATCAACATGCCTAACGGTATAATTGACTCGCCCTGGGCAGTGGAAGAGTACGAGGTTTTGAGGCAAGGACCACTCTCTGTGGCTGGGACAGGTGCATGCTTCCACACCAGCACCACGCCGATAACGAAACAGATGGACTGGCCAGACTTGCAGATTTCCTTTTCACTTTCTGTGCCAAAATACAATGACCAAGCTGACGTAAGTAAGGGTTAAATTCGACGCAATTACATAACAACTTTTATAAATTAATATTTTGTATTTTTCTATTAAAACAAATTCCTATGAATGATAGTGATAGAAAAGTTGCGATTTTAGGGTTTGTTAAAATATAAAGAAAAATTCAGCAAAGCTGAAGTGCGGGATAAAATAATGAAAATGCACTTAAACATACGCTTTGGCGATATGGAAACTACCGCAAGGCATAGTTTATGTTTAACTTTTAGGCCGAAGTGGTGAATTAAAGTAAGAGAGGGGCTTGTTGAGGTTTGTGTAATCAAAGAGAGATAAAGCGATTGATCTATGAGGTAGGCGGTCATGACAGAGGGAGAAGGCCATCGTTGACGGAGAGGTGTCATCAAAGAGAACGAGTATCGATAAAGAGAGAGATGGTATTCAAAGAGGAGAGGGACATCAAAGAGGGAAGGGGGACACAAAATAAGGAGAAGGTCATCAAAAGACGGAGAAGAGAATCAAAGAGGGAGAGAGAAATTAATCTCCTATTTTAATTTTATTGGCTCGTTGTAAGCAGTGCCTAACAAAGGACGATACTATAGAGTCAACAATATTAAAGATACGACACCCAAAACAGTTGTTAGTTACAATTAAAAAGATTTATTAAGTCTTAAGATCATTACAAAATTTTACTTGACCTAAATTAGAATCCTAGCAGACAGTAACGTCTGTTGTGGGCGTGGCCTATTCCTTTGAAGTATCTTGTTTACTATCGGCTTCCAATTACACATTGGGTAGTATGTATCCTGGTAGTTTCTGGAATGTGCTCGATAACCAGAGAAATGTAAACAACACGTCATAAGTCGTTTCTGGAAGGCAGGGCTTACGCGACCTATTTAAGGGATTGACAGGCACGGACGGAGAGGGACGGAGATTCAGATAGAAATTATTAACTTTACGAGACGTGTATTATTCTTTTTGTGTATTTGTGCGCTCATATGTGTTTATTTCTAATTTCATCATTATTCATTGGCACATTATTCTAACTGTGTTAACTGTGTACCGGTACAAGATCTACCATACTGTAAGTTGAAGATTGTCATTATGTTTTATTTTCTTTTGTAATTATATTAAGACTTAATAAATCTTATTAATTGTAACTAGAAACTGTTTTGGGTGTCGTATTTTTAATACTATTGACTCTATGGTATCGTCCTTTGTTAGGCACTGGTTACAATGAGCCAATTAAAATTAAAATAGGAGATTAATTTCTCATATTAGAAGCCACTGCGTAACAAGATAATGAAAATGATACTGCACGCGCTCGGTTGTCCTAGTCAATTACAAACCCCTGTATGACAATTAAAATCACTGTACATTTGGACTGTAGGCGGCCTATGTATACGAATTTGAAAACTGCCAGAGGATCTAATAATTTTAAAACCCGTATTCAGACTTCGGGTCTTCAACAGGTCTCCTATGCTCTAACTACGACGATATTACATCCATAAAATAAAAGAATCCTACCTCGCGGAATTTCACTTATCGCGGTAGAGACTGGAACCGATTAGCCCAAATAAACAAGTGACGACTGTACAAACATCAGGAAGCTTAAGTAAGACAGAAGGCCTGGGTATATCACATCATTAAATTTATTGAAGTGCAAGTTATGCAACTAAAGCTAAATCGTTCCTAAACGATGGCTATAGATATACAACTGAGACATGTTATTTGGCGTAGCGACGCTGTTGTTATTTGCTCAAACTTTATAAACGACCATTGATATAATGAATGTTTATGCGTACGATTCAAAAGCGTTTGTTCACCTCTTTCACCAGACACTGCTCCACTACGACCCAGATGTAGCAAAGGAATTAAGCGCACGTGATAACGCAACTTACGCTTTTGGGTTTTTGCCGATTATCGTACGACCGGCCAGTCGGGGCACCCTGAGATTACGCAGCGGCAACCCCCTGGACCAACCCGTTATAGATGTCAACTTCCTGTCGGTGCAAGAAGACGTCGATGTCCTTGTTCGTGGGGTTGAAATCTGCAAGCGGGTCATACAGTCTAAAACGATGGCGTCGATTGGCGCCAAACTCGCCGATGTTCAGCATCTGAGCATGTGCTCGCAGTACACATTTGATTCCACAGACTACTGGGGGTGCGTCGTTAAAGGGAGACCCATAAACGGGCACCATATATCCGGGACGTGTAAGATGGGATCAGCGAGCGACATCACGGCAGTGGTGGACCCACAGCTCAGGGTGCGTCACATCCAAGGACTCAGGGTCGCTGATGCTTCCATTATGCCGTACGTCACATCCGGGAATACCAACGTACCTACAATGATGGTTGGCGAGAAAGCGGCAGACATCATTAAAGGGGTACAGCTCCCACCGACGATTATCAGTTCGGATGATGTATGCCCAATCGAAAGATAATGGAGGGCCACGAGATAGGTGCAAGGTTCAATATTAAAATTGTTCATGGGTTATGATAAATCAAAAAAATTAAACATATGACTACCAAAAATAACCCTTGAAAATAGACAGTGCCCTGTTGTCATTAATCACATTTTAAAATATTACGTTTCATTGAATCTTTCAAGGGGGAAAAAAATACATCAGAAAATGGCAATAAAATAGGTGGACTTCACCCAGCCCACTTATTGATTGGGTTTGCAAAAAAAAAAATCTTTATAAATCTTTCATTTTAACATTTAATTATTTAGCCTTTTCTTATGGATGTTTATGATTATGCTTGCATCAAAATCAAACCAATGAAATTGAAATATAGCTTGACAGTAATTAAGTCAAAGGAAATGGCTGTTGTACTCACTGACTTTTGAGTGTGTCTAACAAAAATACCCCCAACAAAATGAAGAGGACAAATTGGGGAAACATGCATGGATGATACCACATCGATACATTTTCATCCTACCACCTGGCAGGGCATTTTTATGGTTGATCTCTCTAAACAATTCACCTGATAGCACAGGGCGGTCTAAGGAAACTCATTTGAAACATACAATTTTAAAATAACATCAGAAAACAACAAGGGTTAATTAAATGTCATCATTTTTTTTTAAAGTTGTAATATTAGAGATAAATGCTAAGAAATAAAAGAAATTTAAAATAAGGGAACATAAGAAAAGCACAAAGACATTTCAGCTGTAATGATATATTACTTTATTGAGGAAGTGTCAGTTTCTTGTTGATCCAGTTATCCTACTAATTCCGCTAAACACATTCCTGGTTCCTAACACAGTCATTCAGTGAAGCAGTCTACCAGCAGCCATTCAGTAAAGTGATGGTAAACTAGACAAAAACAAACAACTTGGTACTGAAGTGGAGATGTTTGTTTAGTTGACATTGTTCTGATGACTTCATACAAACAAACCCCACACATTAAAAAAAAAAAAAACAATAACCCATAAAATGCATCCTGGAGTTCTCATTCAAGTTAACAACCACGAAATAACACAACAGACCACTCTCAGAGCATCCCAGTTATACATTGTTGCTATAAACCAAATCAGTGTCCTATAGACGCCTTGTTTTTATTTTTGAGGGGGTGGTTTCCAGTTTTGAAATTCTTTTTGACAACTAAGCTAACCAGTATAAGTTACCCATCAAAACTTCTTTATCATGGAGTACTGAATGAGTAAAGATTTTTAGGACTAGCCAAAATTTCATAAACCTGTGCTATATCAGATATCTAACGGGTTCCTCTGTTGTTTTCTTTGAGGCATGCTTTCAGTCTTATATCATCGTCGTGTCAAAGTTTTTGCAATTAGAGTTACGATTAAGTTCCTCCAAAAACCAACACCCCTTTATTTAATTAGCCTGACTTACCAGATATAAGAAAAGAATCCCTAACACTTACACATGTTAACTTTGCTTTAAGGATGGAATGTCTTAAATGAACATAATATGTTAGGAAGTCCATAGACCAACTACAAACTGAAGCAGTTGTTGGCAGTGGATTTACGGCACTGCCAAGATATAAGACTTAACACTACCAGCTAAATTTTTCCCCACGGATTTACCTACACCATTGTATTTTTTATGGCCTTGCAAGATAAAAACAGAATCCTAATTTTCTTTTGCTTGTGCCAATCCAACAGCTAGTTATATTAAAAAATAAATTATGTAAATAATATAATTTGTTTCACACAGCTAGGACGGATATTGAACCAGTCGCTACTCCTATGAGGGAAAGTCTTGTAAGATTGAGCAGTTTGGACAATACTGGACAAGGTAAATACAGATTGAACCACTTGGGTCTTAATGGCAAAAACAAAAAAAAAAGTTGGAAGTAAAACTAAAACACAGTTAACACATTAATACTAACTTGGTTTCAACAAAAGGTAACCCGGATAACTTTGGCTTAGGAACTATCTACACATTCCTAAATGAGGTTAAGTTTTGTCTAGCAATCATTTCAAAATTTCTTTCATAAACATTTTAACAACATTCAACATCTTAAGACTCTAAATGTAATCACCTCTGGTCAAGGTTAAATATTGTTGGATAATGGAAAGGAATAACAAAGAACAAAAATAATAATTCATGTAAATATAATAAATCCTTATTTTAATCTATTATTATGGCTCAAATTGTGTGTCCATGACTTTAGGGGGTCTAAATAAAAAAAAAAAACATTTTAAAAACTTATCATGTTTGATCAGTTGATAAGAAAATACAAATAAAAATGTTTATGTGACTTAAGTCATCCCATATTGTGTAATAACTCATTCATGTCCATTCAAAGGCAGCTGCTCCATTTGAGCATTACACTTATAATTATCTTAAAATGTGAATTAAAAAAGTGCCTTAGAAGTATCCAATTTATTTTAAATTACAACGACATTACTTGGGTGTAGGAAGAGACTTATCTTTCCTCAATGTTTTGCTGGCTAAAAAATTTTTCTAGTTTTATTTCTTTTATTTATAAAAAAATAAATTGTAAGGACATCAGCTTGACCACAAATGACTGATTTTTGAAATGATACAAGAGGCCTACAGAAACGATTTCAACCTGAAATCCACAGCAACATGTAATGTAGGCCGACTACTGGGAGCTGACTCCTGGGAGCATGACAATTTGTATAAAAATATAAGGCAACTTATCTGATGTTAGTGTTCAGATTTCTATTGCTTAAAGGATAGCCTACACCAGTGATCGGAAAACCCATTAGTCAAAAGAGCCAAAAATCAGCAGACGGGTGATGAAAAGTTTTTTGAGAGCCCCATTTCTAGTCAAGAACCATTTTTTTCAGAGTCAAATACGATTTGTGGCTGATTGGCAGAGCAGCACTCAGGTCTCTAAACAACCGCAAGCGGCTCGCGAGCCGCGATTTGCCGACCACTGGCCTACACCTAGAGTTTTTTGACAAGGGCTGGGGAGATACAATGACTGGAAAGATACAATGGCTGGGGAGATACAATGGCTGGGGAGATACAATGGCTGTGAAAAATGAGTAGATTTGTTTTTTTTCTTCTTTTAATACTTAAAATATTCTAATCACTGTATACAATGAATTAAATGCAGGCTTGGATAAAAATTCTTCAATGTCTTTGGACCATCCCATAATTTTAGGAATTATTCATTTGATGATAAATTGTTTGTAACACTAGGTAAATGCCGTGTGAATACTGAATTGATTTCTCAACATAGAAGAGAAAGTCAAAATCATATAGTAATATATAAGGCTCCTCAAAAAAAAAAAATAACGATGAACCATTTTTGACTGTTTCTTAAAATCATGTGAAAATTCATATATCTTTCAAGAAAATTGTTATTTTTGTATTTCCTTATGTTTAATTAAATTAAGCATTTGAGAATTGGAATTTTAAAAAATTGGTAAAAAATAGGAATTAACTCTTATGAGGAAAACTAACAAGTTTTTACAGAAGTAACAGAGATAATCCTGAATTAAATTTCTTTCTTTTGTAACTACTTACGTACTAAAATATAAAAAGTCTAGCTGTGCTGTAGATATGGAAATAGTAATACATGTATGCAAAGTATAAAAATAGGCAAAAATTATTAATGTACAGCTGATAAATTTTAATTTGAAATTAAAAATAATGAATCTTGTGTTGGCCCAGAGATGATAAATAAAGAAAAGATAATAATTGTTGGACTGCATTCAAGTTTGGATATTTCGGCCTAGAGACATGGTATGAATCAAAATACCCTCTTAGTAATGTTTCTCAATTTCCCTGTAGTTCTTATTTTTTTCGTATTCCTTAGATTTTATGTACCCATAAATATTTTGGTCCTTTAAGATTGTATACCTTTTTTTTCACAGTACCAATATTTATATTATTTCACTTCCTGTAATCCTACATCTGGCAACAAAAGGAAATCTCTTCTGCTCTGTTACTTGTCCTACTTCTTTTGTGTCTTGTTTGCTGATGAAGGCTCTAAGCCGAAACATCCAAATCTTTTGTCCTGCCTATTAGTTCAAGGTGAGCATACCTTGTTCTTATATTTCATTTTAAATAAAGAAACCTCTTCTCAAACTAATCAAAACAGAAAGACACATGAATACCAATATCTGCTGGTATGTGGTTAATTGCATACGGTGTTAACGGCTGTTGTTCCACTTAAAATAGGACACAGCATTATCGACAACCTAAAGTTTATATATGTACACTACACATATCAAGTTGTTCAGGTGTTTAAAAAAGTTTTCCTAAAAATAGGTCTATTTTTTAAACTAAAACTTTGGTGTTAGACAATTTATATTATTAAAGAAATAATATTATTCAAATACATAATCATGACATAATAAAAGAATTGTACAAAACAGGTACATCAACTAACTTGAAAATCAAAACACCTTAAATCTCAATCTTGATTAATGTGGAGAGCAAATTAAATGGGACATTAAAAAATGTAAAAAAAAATTAACAAACATTAAATATTAAACTTACATTAAACTTAAAATAATATAGTAATATGTAATAATAAATCTATACATATTGAGAATCCTTCATAAAAAAAGTAAAGGGAAACATATTGGCAACTAAGCATAATGTATAAAAACAATTTCCTCTTCTTTCTATTTACAAAAGAAACAAAACTACTTTATAACTCAGAATTTAGTGCTTTTTTAACTCTTCATTGTCAGTTAACTGACTGGATCTAACTCAGGAATAATTAACATACCCAGATTTCTTAATTCAGTGGAAATTGCACTTATTGTCGCTATTGCTAGATCAAATATTACACAAGTATTTTCAAAAATTAAATCAATTGTTTGTCAACCACATATAAAATGTATGAAACACCTCTGAGAACCACTATCTTTGGTAAAAA